CTATTGCCGATTTACTTCTAAAAATCCCAACTAAGGTTTATTTCTTTAACAATCCTAGCTAACTATTATATGATTTTTCCTCCAGTAGTACCAAAAACCGATTACCTGCTAAAAGTATAAAATTTTTTTTTGGTTTTTAAATGCCACATGTCAGCACATGAGTGGCCTAATATTTATAAATAAACAAATAAATAAATAACAAAAAAAAAAACTAAAAAAACAGAAGTCTATCCCCAGTCAACCCAGCAACCCCACCGTGAAATCTCAACCACCACAGCCAATTGAAAGCCGGCGGCCACCTCCCTAACCTTCCGAAAACGGCCGAACCAAATCTGGGTTTAATTTATGGTGGTTGTTGTGCGAAATTGCTGCAAATCAAGGTTGAAATTGGTGCGAATATGGGTTTTAACCTGCTGGTGTTGTTGTGTTTGGAGGTGAATGTTGCGGGGTGGTGAATGGTGGATAAGGAGGTGATTGGTGGTGCTTAATGGCAGCGCCGATGTATAGGGCGAAAAATTGTAGCGATGTGATTGGTTTGTTGCTCTTAATTTTTCCCAATCTTCCATCTTTGTGCTGCAATTGAGGTGCAATAAGTTGAGGTGAGAGATTGAGGGGTTGTGGTGGCTGAGGGGAGTGATAAGGAAGCAAAGGGTTGTGAGCGGTGGTGGCAGGACGGTTTTGGGACTGCTATAATTGAGGGGTGCGGTTCGTCGCTGCTTTGGTTACGCCATAGCGGTGGCTGCTGCTGGCCCTGCTACTTTGGTGGTGGCAACCGCTACTTTGGCTGCGCCATTGCGGTGGGTGGAGGTTGCTTTTCGAGGGAGGATGGGTGGTTTGGGGGTGGGAGTAGGACGGCTAGGGTGGTTTTTGGGGTTGGGAGGGGACGACTGACCGTTTTCGGGGGTTAAGGGAGACGGTTGGTCGTTTTCCGACTAGCTGGGGGTTGACTGTGGCGTTTCAGGGTGGCGGGAGGGGAGGAGGTGGTGGCTATTAGGGTTTTAATTTTTTTTAATTATAGACCAATCACGTGCTGACACGTGTATTAGTAACCTATTACAACAAGTCATTGACTTGGTGTTGACCGGTTGGGTCTAGAAGCAAACTCATGTAATAGTTAGGATTGTTAAAAAAATAAACCTTAGTTGGAATTTTTACAAGTAAATCGATAATAGTTGGGATTATTAAAGTGTATTTTTCCAAAATTTATTTAGTGATTTTCTATGGAAGAAATAAACTAATGAAGAAATTTGGTTATCTGCTACATATAATTAGCATGATTGTTTTGGTAAGCATGCAGTAGGGCAATTGCCCGTCGTGAAACCGATGATGGTTTGTCCAATTAAATATCATGCTAGAGGGAGCTGGTACTGGTGTTGCTGTCGACGATACGCTGATCGAGTTGCACTCCGGCTGGCGGAGACTGTTCCACTACACATTGCTGCTCGTAGTAGTTACGTAGTAGTAAAATAAAGCCTCATTGTCTTGTCTTGAGGAGGTTTTTTTTTTTTTTTAAAAAAAAAAAACGGTAAGATAGGGGGATCCCCCACCCTATCACAGGAAGGGGTGGGGGGGTTGAGGATCGAACCCCCAACCACTTGGAGAGGACACCCCTCCATCTCCTATATCCTCTTATCTTAAAAAGTATACTATATAGGAAAATTTGTAAATTACCACCTAAAAAGATGATGACCTATTTTGAAATTACCACCCGTTAAAAATTTTATTTTAAATTACCACCCCTTAAATAAAAAAAATATTCAGATTGCCACCTTTTTAGAAAATCCGGTGGAATTTCCGTTTGAGGGTCCCACCCAACGGCTAGTAACGACTACTTTGACTCTTTTTACTGTCTCCCTCCCCGATTTTTTTTGTTTATAAAGTTTCAAACTTCAATTCACAATTTGTTCCCCAATTTCAACCAAATTTTCTCAAATTTTGCATGTTAGTGTTTGAAGAATTTATCCTCACAAGTGCAGACACTCAATTCGCAACCAAAGTATGAATCCACATGTTCTTAATTTAGGGTTTTCACCAACAAAAATTGGGGTAAATGGTTATATTTAGGAATTAGAGTTCTTGGGGTAATAGAATTGGGCGTTTTTTATAATTAGGGTTCTTGGGACAATTGAATTGGGCAAGTACAGTACATCATTCAATTTGCAGGAAAAACAAAAGTTAGGGTTTTGATTTAACATTTGGGTAGTTAAAGGAAGAAAGAGGGAAAAGATTGATGATGTTTGAACAAATTAATTGAAGGAATTGATGAGGGAAGTTCTTTTTTGAGTTTAATACAACAGTGAGAGGGTTAGGTCGAGGGGAAGGAAGAAAAAAAAGGAGGGAAGTTGATTAGGTGGGGCCTTCAAACGGAAATTCCACCGGATATTCTAAAAAGGTGGTAATCTGATTTATTTTTTTTTAATTTAAGAGATGGTAATTTAAAATAAAAATTTTAACGGGTGATAATTTCAAAACAGGTCCCTTTTTGGTGGTAATTCACAAATTAACCTATAAAATGTATTACTAAAACTTTTTGAATAACAATTTGCTTATATTGTAGACATTGAAATTTTGTCAATTTAAGGTGTTAAATTTAATTAAATAAAAAGATATGTCACATAAACCATTTGATGATCCTAAAGGTATCGGAGAATGTAAGTAAATTATCTTAGTCTCTAATAACAAATATAATTGTCAAACTTGTATGAAATAGTATTCCTAAATAAGCTCATCACACGTAAAGGAGTTTGTTCCTCCCCTTCTAACCATTTTTTTAAATACAGATACCGCCATAACAACTAGCATAAAAAGAAGGTACTTGGTACTTCTTAGCCTTTGATTGGGTTAAAGTTATTAATTTTCAATGTTTTACTGTCACTCTTTCTAATTGTAACTTAAGTAATGTGTTGGAAATTTAGAATTCATAAATTCATAACTTAAGCACAATGTGTGCTACCCATGTTGTAGCTTTTTTTTTTTTTTTTTTTTTTTTTTTTGAAAAAAAGTCCTAAAGGACACTAAATTTCATTAATATAAGCCATACGGCATCTACAATTGACAATGAACGATAATGAAAACGAATTTAACAAAATCAAACAAGAATTAATCGGGGAAGGGCTAAGAATCCAAATACATAAATATAACAATTCGACATATCCTCGATTCGTTGTCTCATACAACTTTTTGAGTGGATCCGTCGTCGCTTCGCAATTTTGTGAGAAAGTCAATTCTTGAGCTGATTCCGTAACCCGAATCCGAGCCACAATCAATAGTAGCCCCGCACAACCGAAGACCAAATTAAGCACAAATAAAACTTTGTCTTTCGAAGGAGTATGGAAAACTTTGTCTTTTGAAGGAGATCGAAAAAATCTTGTCTTTCGAAGGAGATAAACCCTTTCTTTCGAGGGAGACATTAGTGTAACCTAAAACAAAAGGCTTAAAGGAAAATAAAGATTGGGGCTTTCCACCGGTGAAATCCGATGGAAGCCCCTTTAAAATTGACAATGGAGACTAGGTTTAGGAGAGAGAAGAAAGAAAAGGAGGCTAGGGTTTTAATTCATCATATACTCTTACCCATGTTGTAGCTTAGCTAATTGTTATCTTGTTTACTCTCCCCACACCCTAAAAACAAAAAATAAGCCAAAAATTAAGTCGACAGAAATCAAACTCAACTATTCTAAGAGCAAGTTTAGCCCCAAGTCTTAAGACTTGGGGTGACATCATCATTTTGAGTCTTAAGATTTCTATCCTCGATAGAAAGAAAAGAACTGAGTATGGATATAATGCTGGATCGGAAAGATTTAACTCGTTCAAATTTGCTAAAAAACGGGGTATTGATTATTGAACCGATTCGTCTGGCTATAAAAGGCAACGGGCAATTTCTTCTGTATCAAACCATAGGGATTTCGTTAGTTCATAAGAGTAAACACCACAATAATCAAAAACGATACAGTGAGAATGGTGATAAAAAAAATTTAGGTAAAAGAGACAAAAACAATTTTGATTTGTTTCCTCCCGAAAATCTTTTATCGCCTAGGCGTCGTAGAGAGTCGTTGCCGGGGAACGGTGTTGTTGATAGCTAATTGATTACTTGAGTCTAGTTCACCATAAAAAAATTTCAAAAAGATTGTCTCTTTTTGGCTACACTTGTAGCCTTGGTACTAATTGCGTTTGTTGAGAGTGTATGCGCAGAACTCATAACAGGATCTTGGTACCTTACGATCCCGAGATTGAGCAAACTTATAGTAGTGTGAGTTGTTTTCTAATTGCATGAGGTTGATTTTACATATAGTCCTTGCTATATCTTGTCTATTTTACTCCCCGTTTGCCTATTTGCCTTGGTTGAGTGGATCTCATTCCCTAGTATCTTTAATTCATTGACTTAGAACCATAGTTTGTTTGTCTTCTTGACGAACCCCAATTCACCAATTGACTTCGAGTTAGCTTAAGTGTAAAGATCTTTGGCAATCATATCCCGTTCCTTGTGGACCGAACTCTTACTTGTCATTATGCTTGGTTTGTAAGGTGTTTGTTAATAAATGTGTTTGATTGAGTGTGGAATGTACGACCGTTCTAACGCCCCATCAAAATGTTTGTACTTAAGACTTTTCCCATTTTTCTTCAAAAATCTCAAGCAAGTCTCAAGTTGAGTATTGAAATTTCAAGACTCAACTTAAGACTTGAGATTGAGACGCACTTCACCCACTTCATTTTTATTTTTATCATCCCTTTTTTTACACTTTTCTACATATAATATGTCAAATATTTAAGTCTTAGGGCTAAAGTGATAAATTTGTGCAAATCTTAGTGAGTCTTAACAAGAATTTGATGACATCATTTTCAATGGGGACCACCAAAAATGATGTCACATTCAAGTCTTAAGACTTGGGGCTAAACTTGCTCTAAGAACGCCTCGTATTATTGGAGGATACATTGATACATATACGCCGAGGAACAAGGTACAACCAAACGTGGCCGATTGTATGTATACAGTATAAAACTCCACAGTTGTTACTTCTGCCATAGGCCCCGTGAACTCTCTAAAAAAGTCCAAAAGTTGCGTAAGACGATCATATGAATATACTACTATGATCATATCGTTCTATATCCTATTTCATAACTTCTTACTTCAAAGGTGATCGATTGATCTCTCTCTAGCATTGCCTGTCACAAATTTTAAGCATTACAAAGACGCAGGTAAATTCTTCACCTTTGTTCATCATTTAATTTCCCCGAATTATTTTTTGGGCGTATTGATTTTTTACCTTTTTATTTCCCAATTTCTGTCTTTGTTTTGTTTGATTCACTATTACATTTGCAATATTTATAACGGGTTTATCACAACTAGCATTTATTTTGTGAAAATTTTAAATTTTGAGGCAATTTTTATCAATAGAAGCTTTAATTTTTGGGATCAAGTAATTTCCTAGGGCTTTAATCAATTGGGTTTTTTTTTTTTTTTTTTGCTACTTCCCAAAAGATTAATGTGTCTTGATCCAATTTGGGTTATGATATTTTTGCGATTAGGCTTAATTGTTGGAGAAATTGAAGTTTTTTTTGCTAAATTTATAACGAGATTACATTATTATCAGCTTCAGTATGAAGCTTTACCTGCCAAATTTGTAAAATTGTGTAATCAAGGTGATATCTTGTTTGTTGCTAACATGTAATATTTCACTGACCCTAGCAAGAATAATTTATGGGATATTTTAGTTATGATGTGAATGCTTTGGACCGATGATTCGAAGAATAGAAATCAATTAATCTAGTTGTTTTTAGTTGGGAGAAGATATAATGTACCATGGATTGAGGAGCTTTTAGAGTTTTAGGGAAGTACATAGATATGAGCTTATTTTGGTGTTTTCGGCTTCTAGACTTTTTCGTATGAACAAACCAATAGAACAGTGAGAAGTTAGGATGGTGAATTTTAACAACACTTTCGAAGGATGAAGTAGCTTGATCATGCTAATTTATTACATTGTTTGAAAAGGGGGAAGAGGAGACAAATTGATTACACTGTGCTATTGAATAAGGAATCTTACCAATCTTTCCTTCTTATAATCAATGTTGCTGTTTTTGACCTTTGGGTCTTTTCCTTCACCAAACAAATCAAATGGCAGCCTTTAATGTGAAAGAAGGAGCACCGTTTTAGTTCTTTTAGTCTTGAGTTTTTGAAGAGACTCTACATGTAAATTTTAGGTGTGATGATTATAGGTTATGAGCAACACAAAAACAGTTGAGGAACAGAACTAAATGGAGTTTTTGTTTGCCAGTGTGAAAGTATGAAACACTTTTATGCCTTTTGTCCTCTGAACACCATTGCCTGAGTTCTGTTGGTTACCAAGAGCTTTTCTGGTTACACACTTCCATCTTCCTTACTTCTTATGTTTGTTTATAAAACTATGTTAGGGGACTATAATCTGTCTTATACTGAAATAAATTGTGAATATGCAAGTGTTTGAGCTGGAACTCATGAAGAGTTAAATATTCATGTTATGTGACATGTTTATCAGGTGTTTGTCAAGTTAGCTTTACTAAAGAATCTCAGTTGATGGTTTGCTGTTAGAATTGCTAGAATTTTTTGTATCTATGGCTGCGTTTATTTTAGTGGAAAGCATTATCTTGGAAAATGATTTTCATCCATTTTTCCATTTTCCTTTGTTTTTTAAAAGGGTGGAAAACAATTTTCTCATATGTGGAAAGTTTTACTTTAAAGATTTGCAGAGACGTTATGCCACATTTTCTTCTTTACTCCTCACTTCTCTATTTCCTCTCCTCTATCCTCTCCCTCTCTTTTATTTCCAATTTTCTTTTTCTCATAAGCTTTCCATATAATCAAACAAACAAAGAAAAACTCTATTTACTGCATTGAAAACTGTTTTCTTTAGAAAATGATTTTCCATGAAAACTGTTTTCCATCAAAATGAACTGAGCCTATGTTGAAAGTTTTCCAAGTCTTTAGAAGTATCATATGGTATACCACAATATATCATTCCTAATCAGAGGTTCAAATATTTCCAAAAATTTTCTTTTATAAGTGGAGTGAGGTGGTTTGCATGTGTCTATGATTCAAAAAATATAGAATAGTTTATTATTTGGAGCAACTGAGAAGCTGTTGACAGCTTATTGAAACCGTTCATTTTGTCCATTAGAGTTCAAGCTGAAATAGGCACAGTATGCGTTATAATATCAGATATTGGGGGAGACAATTTTGTGCATGTCTCAATGTCAGTGCTTAAATTTTGCTTCATGCCTACAGTATTGTTCACTAAGGACTGGACTTTTGGGGAAAGCTTGTATCAAGCATAAGCACTATGATGTTACACTTAAGATTAGGTGAAGGCAAAAATTGATTATTTTGTTATACTTGTATTGAGTTTGGCAGTTCTTCTGTGTTCTACATTGACCGTCCTATTTCCTGTTAAGATTTTCTTATCAAATCTTGTTTTATGTTCTCATACTGACCAATTTCAGTTCAAATTACCTATAAACTTTGATACCCCAACCTCCATTCACTCCAGGGTCCTCCCCTGCCACCCCATTGCCTTTCCTTCCCCATATCTCAATAGTTTATGTCATTTGGATGCTATTTTTGTCTTTGTATCATGTTTGTGTAATAGCTTACATATTCAGCATGTATACTTGTATATCAAGTACTTTGTATTTGTTATCTCTTTCTTCCCACTCCCTTTCTTTTCCTCTTTTTGATATTTACAGAGTAGCAGTTCTAATTTTGGCTTTCGTCATTTGTTAGGTCAATTAGCTTTTGATTGAATGGGGTTAATCACTGCTCAGGGTAAACAGCCGCTCTTCTCCTTTGGAATTATATCAGATGTTCAATATGCTGATATTCCTGACGGTCGTTCCTTTCTTGGTGTGCCTCGATATTATAGACACAGTGTACTTGTGTTGGAAAGGGCAGTCCAGAATTGGAATAGGCTCCAACATCTTAGTTTTGCTGTCAATTTTGGCGACATTGTTGATGGATTCTGCCCAAAGGACCAGTCTCTAAATGCTGTAAAGATGGTTGCTTCCAAATTTGAAGAATTCAATGGCCCTGTATACCACATGATTGGCAACCACTGCCTCTATAATCTTTCTCGTGAAACGCTACTCCCATTATTGAAGATTCCAAGTCATGATTGCAGTGCTTATTATGATTTTTCACCAACACATGATTACCGATTAGTTGTTCTTGATGGCTATGATATTAGTGTCATAGGTTGGCCTGAAGATCATCCAAAATCAATGGAAGCTGTGAGTATTCTCAAGGAAAAGAACCCGAACTTAGATAAAAATAGTCCTGTTGGACTCAATGGTCTTGAAAGAAGGTTTCTGATGTTCAACGGAGCAATTGGAAGGGAACAGCTGGAATGGTTAGATCAAGTCCTCCAGAATGCAACTGATCTGAAACAGAAGGTGATCATCTGCTGTCACCTGCCTCTAGATCCTGGCGCAACGACACCTGAAGCAATTCTATGGAATTACAATGAAGTGATGGATGTTATACACAAATACAAGTGTGTAAAAGTCTGCTTTGGTGGCCACGAACATAGAGGGGGTTACTCAGTTGATTCCCATGGGGTCCATCACCGTGTTTTCGAAGCAGCCCTTGAGTGTCCTCCCAATTTGGATGCATTTGGGTATGTTGATGTGTATGATGATAGAATATCACTTGTTGGAACCGACAGGATGAAGAGCACAGATATGGTGTTTGATTCGTGACCTCTTGCTGTTTGGTAATGTATTCTTTATCTAACAAATTTTTCCTCTTCCTCTTCCTCTTCTTCCAATTCAATATTGTTACGTTATTGTTAGATTCGATAGCTGGTGCCTTATGGTCCATGGATCAGCTCTTTTGTAAACGAGTTCCGTGGATGGTATTACCTACTGCAAAATGTAGGTCTGATTATAAGGAATAAAAATTATACTGCTATTTTAGTGTCTCCTGCTTTCTTGCTTGAATTTTTTTTTTTTTTTTTTTTTTTTTTTTTTTTTTTTTTTTTTTTTTTGGCTCACCCTTAATTTCTTGGTATGAAATTTTGCGGTATTTCAGACTAACAATGCTACAGTCTTATCTTACTTACTTGGTATTTGTTATGCAGAACTTCAGGCAAACAATGCTACTGTCTTATCCTACTTAATTGTTACGAAATAGTTGTAACTTGTGAGTAGCTTTCAGAAATATAATGACATTTCACTTTTAAGAATGCTTGCTTGTTTTGCATGATCCCTTGCTCATTTCCATTCCCTAAATGATATGGAGTATATTGTACTGAATATATGATGTTATATTAGAAGAGTCTCGCGTAAATTCTTTGTTTGTTTATCTCCTTCGATAGTTCAATCCATTGTGATGCATGCACTCGCATTCTGAAGACTATAAGGTGTTGCCTTTAATACTTATGTTGCTGAGTTCTCGGACTTCTCACTGATTTGGGCTTGGATTGTTAGGTATAAGAATCAATCCTATTTACAATGAAGACCAAATAATTCAATTACATGGGTAGATATCTCTCAAGTAGTAGAGACTACTAGAGAGTGTGTTTAAAGTTAGTAGTCAAAGAGGGAAAAGAGGTTTACTATTTATTCAAAATGTTGATTTTAGCTACTATAAAAATATTCGAATTAGTAGTTACTGGTATAATCAAAAGTTAAAGTGTTGCCATTAAAAAGATCCATTTTCTCTATCCTTCATATATGTACAAAGCTTTAGAGGGTAGTAATGTCGATAAATTTCAATGTAGATCTTTAGCACTAGTAAGATACTAAGATATGTGATATTCTCTCCGTTTTAAAATGCTTGCTTCATTTCTCTATACGTGGAGTTTTAGGAGAAATTGGAAAAAGTAATAAAAATGTGGAAATAGTGGGGTTGGTGGAAAAATTAAAAAATATAAAAGACAAAAGGAGTGGAGATAATTGGAGGAGAGAAAATACATGTGGGGTCCACTAGATGAGAGAAATTAATTAAATATTGTAAGAGCTTTCCAAAAAAAGAAAATGGAGCAAGTATTTAAAAACGGCCGCAAATGAAAAGTGGGAACAAATATTTAAAAACAGAGGGAGTATCAGACTATCAGTATATCACCTTCTATTTAGTGTACCAAAAGTCCAAAACCATAAACATTCATACTCTAACTTACAACTTCAATTAATACTTTGACTCTCACGCAAGTAGATAACGTGTAACTTTGATTAGGATGATTTTATCGCGGTCATTTGAAATATGACTACCATATTATTTTAATGATATATAATGTGCTTAGTTTATTTTTTTTCACGTTATAAAATGGCCACAATTAGTCTTATAATATCTACAATGTAAATATAAATTTTGAAAATTTTAATCCTACATAAAATAAATATTTTTTTTTGAGAAACTATAAATAAGAAAATAAAAATGACATAAATGAAACTAAAAATTTGATAAATCAAAATAATGTTGATAATACTATTTCATACCATTTTTCCTATAATTAATTACTTAGAAAATAAAAATGTCACTTATGAACTATATCATCATTAAAACATTATGCTTTATGCTAGTCATATTTCAAATGACTAAGGGCCTGTTCATATTTACTTATTTTCAGTTCAATTCAACTCTAATCTGTTCAGTTCAGTTCTGCTCCAATCAGTTCAGTTCAGTTCAGCTCTTAATTTCCCTCTCTCATAAAATATTCATTTCAGCTTAATTCAGTTCAGTTCAATTCAGTTCAGCTCCAATTAGTTCAGTTCAGTTCAGTTCAGCTCCAATCAGTTCAGTTCAGTTCAGTTCAGTTCAGTAAATATGAACATACCCTAATATAAAATTTTCACTCCGATTAATATGTTTAAGTCAAGTTATAAATATGTAAACTACTAACTCAATAAAATGGAAAAAGTCAAATATAAAGATGCCCATTCAAGTTATACTAGCTTTGCGTGAGGTAATATAACTAAAATTATTTATATAAAGAAAATTAAAAACAATATAGACTATATTTTATTGGAGTATTTACGAAGTATATGAAATTATGATGCTATACATAACATTGCCAAAGCTTAATGAATTAATATACTGCCATCTGCTTCTTGGAAATTTCGCAAATACGTAAAATATGAACGCGTACAATACGGCCAAAACAAGTACGTAAATACGGACGCGTGGAATACGGCCAAAAAAATTGCTAGACGTTTCTAAGCATTATTAAAACATTGAACCTTCCAATTCTATTATGACATTGTTGTGATTGTCACGTTTATCTCTTTATTTTTTTATGCCTCGAAATATTCCCTTTTTCTAATTATAAATTTACATTTTTTTTCACTCTTTTACATCAAAAATATCATTCCACATCCTCTTTCATTCACGTGCATCAGTGAATCGAAGAATTGACAATGCAAGCAATAAAATTATAAGTATAATTAATCAAAAAGTCATAGAATATATAAAAAAAAAATTACTTAGAAATTAAAATTTATTGGTTAAAAATTGTTCTTCTTATAACCTTTCTCCAAAACTCTTAAAATTTGACATAATTAGCAAACAACAAAATATAGATTACACATATTTATATAATTAAAAGATGATGGTGTATGTAGTTAAAGCCAGAAGCCTAACACACAAATTCATCAAATTAAAGTATACATAAGAAAAATACCACATAATTTCCTCACAAATTAATGAAAAATAAAAGAAACACCAAACCCTTGGTGTAACGTTTTTTTCCCTTAGGTAGCCCTCTTAGCCTTTTTCTTCTCCAAGTAGAAGAAAAACGCTAGAGAAAGCACGGAGAAGGCGGAGAAGATAGAAGCCGCAATGTCGATCGAGGCGCTACGGCCACTAATACTCTTAACGGACAAGTCTAGACCGGTGGTTTGTCCGTAGGCAAGTTGTTTGCCGTCGGGGCCGTCACGTACGTACGCACGGACGAAGTAATGTGCAGTTGGTACGTCCTTTTTAACAGTGTAGGTAAATGAGTCACTTGATGAAGTGAAGTCTTTTTTAACTACTAGAAATTGGCATGTTTTGTCTCTAGCCAATTCATCTTCGGTCTTCCTCCATGGCCTGTCTACTTGGCTCTCGGCTAAGAAGCACAACTTCACCTCTACTTGCTTGTAGGCTGAAGAGTCGAGTTTTGATACGTTTCGGTTTAGCCCCCATGTCACTGTTATTTGGTCTTTTCCCGCCCTTAGAAATACTGTATCAAGTAAAGATTGTGTCAATAATAAAGAAATGACGTGTAGTGATTTAGCAAAAAAAGGTTAGACAAATTTATAACTATGATATATATTTTAACTTTTGTGTATCATGGTGGTACATTTATTATATTATTAAAGACCATTATATAATTATTGGATCTCTATAAATTTGCTAAAACATATAAGTACCCTATATATTTTGGATGTTTTAAGGTCTTACTAATAAAAGGAAGAGATAAGGAATTCAATCATTTAAGTAAGTTTATGTAATATAATCAACTTTTCTTAATATATTTAGAAAGTCAACTCTTTGATTGAATCAAATCTACAAAGTGCGTGTATTCTTGTGATTGATGAAGTTTCTCATCCAACTCAAAGCGGTTAAGCTCATACACAATCTTTTTGAAATGAACATCACCCTTATCATTGTTTTCTATAAAAATACATACGTACGGAGTATTTAATTTAGTTTTTTTTTTCTCTCTCTTCAAACTCAATCATATAATTTAGAAATGTATTGCAAGTAAATTTGATGTAAGCATAGATTATGATTCTCATGATAAACCCGAGTGTACTTTAAATAGATGGATCTTCAAAAAGACATAATTACAATAACAATGAAATTTTTCAACAAAAACAAAACAATAACAATGAAATTGATAATCAATGGTATATCATGCTAGTAATTGACTTTTTTTAATGCCTCATTTAGAAGAAGAAATAAGTGAATATAACTCAAATAAAAATTATGATCAAATAATTAATTTCAGAAATTATAATGATGTTACCTTTGCCTGTAGGGGTGGTAGAGACGGTGAGAGTGTTAGCAAGATCTTTGAACAAGCCTGATCCATAGCAAGATGCAACCAAGCTTGATAAAAGCACAGAAAAGATTATTAAACCTCGAACCGCCATAATTTAATTTTTTTTTCTTTTTTTTTTTTAGGCTTCTAGCTGATGAACAAAGAGAAAAAAAATTAAAAGCTAAAAATCTTCCAAATTTTTTTTGATACTTTTTAGTTTTTTTTTTTGTGATTTTGATTATGATTCTTTCTGTAGTTGGTACTTCTATATATATTGTGTACTTGAAGAGACCCCACTTTGAAGGATACTCTAACAATTTACCTTAAGATTATAATTATAATAATTAATTAACTGTTAAAATATAATTTTGTACTATTATTTTAAAAACGAGCAAGTCAACTGTAAAACTTGTAACTCTTGGAGAAGCAGAAAAGAACAGAATATTAGTTAATTTATAATAAGGAATTTATTAAATTTAATGAAGAATTGGCCCAAAGTAAAATGAAGAGGTGGGTTGAATTATGAATTAAATGTTGATAAGATATTGTAATTATATGCCATTGGTTGATATTTTAATTATCTGACTATTCTTGTAATATGCTTGGATCCAAGTGGAAGTACATGAATCTACAGAATCTTCATTTAAATTCCAAATGAATTATTCGAATCATCTAAAAGGGTTTATTTGGTTGTCGTATATTTTTTTTTTTGAAACATATTTGGTTGTCTTATATGATAGGGTCTTGATCCAGCCAATTTGTAGCTGTTACACGACTTGGGGACAAGTAAATATAGTAATCCTTTCGTTCTATAACATTTGTTGTTCATAATATCTACCATTTTTATGAAGAGAATTATAGTTTATGGTTTAATTGATGTGACTTTTAGATTATTTTACTTATTTGATTGATATGAGTATTATATTTTGGTGCCTTTAAGTCAAATGTTGAAAATCAAATCACTCCAAATTTGAAATTTCATAGCAATTTGTTTGTGTACATTGCAATTTGTGTTAGGGCAAAGAAGCTAGTATTCCACACTGTCAATTGGTCGCCTTACAGATTTTGTTATGATATAAGTATAATATTCCACAAATTTTGAGTAATTGACAAATGATACCCCTAATATAACAAATACAAATTGTTTATCTGTACAGAGTAATTTATAAATGATATGATTCTCCTAATACAATCGGGTCTGTTCATGTTTACTTGAACCGAACTGAACTAGTTGAGCTGAATTGAAATTAAGCTAAATAAGATTAACCTTGACCACTATATAAAACAATAATACGTCAAAAATATATTTCATGTGCAGTATTCTATAATATACCTAAAAGGGGAGATTATAATTGAAATGGCCTTTGGGCTCAAAAGTAATATATGAATATATAATACCCATATCATACATTTGAGGATAATCGAGTTGGTTGTAATTTATTTGGAAAACGTTAATTTTAGAGTTAAAGCCAAACAGCTATAAGCCATTGGAAAAACGCTACTTGGAGGTTGAGGCATTTGTGTGATTGTTTATGACAATTGAAGATAAAAGCGGAAGGCTTAGGCGGTTTTGTCGTCTTCTACCGTACATCGATATTCCCCCTTTCTTTGTCAGTAAAAAACAGTTTGATCAAATCTTGTCACCTCAAAGTTAGGTACATCTAAAGTTGTACGACTATATCGTACTTCCCTAAATCGAGCTAGATTTTCAACCATTTTTCACCTTTTTTTTTATTTTTTTTTTATTTTTATTTTTTTTTATTTCATTTTATTACTCCATCTTAAATTTTTTTTTCTTACATCAACTCTCACAGTTTTTTTAATTCGGTATTTACGGGTCAGACACTTTAAGAGTGAGAGGAAAGGATAAGGAATCTCCACTTTAAAGTACTTCTAGTGGGGATTGAACCCCAAGGTGACAATCTTATCACTAGACTAAGTTTTATTACTCCATCTTAATTGAGTATAATGTAAGGACTAAGGATTACATTTTTATACTCCGTAATATTTAAATTTATAAACTAAATTAATATAAAATTAAAGATATAAATGATCAAAGTTGTATATTGATCATGCATATCAATTAAAATGATTCACTTGTTTAAATCAACAAAAAAAAAAAAATAACTGAAATTGATTTTGAAAGCTAGATTATCAGGAGAATAGAGTGTGCAAGAACGAAACACTCATATACTCCGTATATTTTATCTTTGAAGTAAAAATAATGTATACGAGAGTAAAAACTAAAGACATCTCTTTCTCTTAATTATTATACAAATTGACTAAATTTCAAAGGAAAAAATAAATTAATTTGAAGAGGCTTTTGAATTTTTGATGAAGAAAGCTTTATTTTTCTTTGGCAACAAGTTGAAAACTAAGACGAAATATTCGATCATGAACATTTATTTCTACTAAAAGAATCAAATTGACATAGTGGAAAAAACAAATATAAAATGTCCAACTTAACTTCTATTATTGGACTTTGTGTAGTAAATTTAGGGCAAAAATATTACATAGTCAATCTCCCATTTGTTTATGCTCTCATAAACAACACAAAGAAAAAAAATATATCAACTTATACTTGAGCAACTTTACTTTGTTTTGCTAATGTCATGTAATAAACTACGGAGTATCATCTGTCATTTAGCATAAAAAGTCTTTCGTAAGCTATCTTTTGGAATATCTTAAGGGAGGTTTGTCGAAAATCGATTTAGTCAACATCTTTGGTTTGGCTCTAAAATCCAACTACCTTAGCCCTTGCTTCCTTGAAGTTCTATACCCAACTTGTATTTGTACTGTATTAATTAATTAAAATACAAGATCATCATTCTTGGTAAAATTTGATTATTTGCCCCACAAAATATGTTTCTTTTTTTTTTTTTTTTTTTTAAAAAAAAAATACCTCCGATTTTATTTATTTATTTATTTATTTGTTGCAACTTTGGGGTATTATTTGAGAGATATAAAATATTCTAAAGTTGCAACTAAAAATAATCGGAGGTAGTAATAATTAAGCTTCCCAAACAACACATGTAAGTGTCCTACATAAAGAAAATAAGAGAGAGTTAAACAATTTATAAGACTATGAGATTACTTCTCCTATATATTGTCGTATGGTTTTGGGATAGAACCTTCCTAGACTTGTGAAGTGAACTCTCTCTCTCTTAGGAAGTATGGTGACGAGTGCAGCAACCTAAACCCGTATTTAACATTTTCTCTTTAATTAATAACGAGGCTTGAAGTCTCACATATACGATACGGCCAATATATGAACATTATAACTTGTAGATGTCAACTACTAGTAGCTAGTTTAGTTGGTAAGGTTATAAGGTCTAGTAGTTTAGGGCTAATGGTATTCGAATCATGCTTCTTTTTTTTTTTTTTTTTTTTTTTTTTGTATGGTAAGGAGAAAGACCCTGATAACCGTAGGTATTTATAGGTCAGATACTTTGAGAGCGAGGGGAAAGGGTAAGGGATCCCCACCCTCAAAGTGTCTCTAGTGGAGATTGAACCCCCAATCTCAAGGTTGGAAAATGACAATCTTATCACTAAACTAACCTTGAGTCATGCATACATCATTAGAAATAATTCATGTTTTGTTTGAGAAGGCTATGTATCAATATTATTCTACAAGCTAAGGTTAGTCAAATTAAATGTCTTCTTAGTTTTCATAAAGCTTGGGTCACCATATGAACCACTTGAAATGATACTCGTAGTTATTTAGTTTAGCTGATAGTTGCAATGTTAGTAAGTCAAACAGCACAAAAGTCAACCCCAAAAAAGAACCAAGGGGGAGTTATGATGTCATATTTTATAATAACATTATTATGAACGTTAGATGTACGTATAATTAATAATACATACACATGCGTCAGCTAGGAATATGCTAATTGAATTAATTAATGTGATTAGTTTGAAATCAATTTGATAACCTTTTAAAGATCAGGCTGATGATGCATAGCTGATATGGACAACTGATTATTATGAGCACATTTCCTCATTTTATCAAATAATTAGAATTGTGATAGGTGGACAAAGGACAATAATTGAAGAATGTATGTACTGTCTTTTTTTTATTTTTATTTTTTTGAAGAAAAATGTATGTACTGTCTATGCACAATTGCACACATTTGAAGTTGAAAAACATGATTTTACGCAAAAAAAAAAAAAAAAAAAAAAAAAAATTTCACTTTTCAGTTGTCAGTTTTCATTTTTTTTTTTTTAAGTTTATCTAATTTTTGTTTCAAATTGATTCTATCATATTAGAAAATATATAATAATATATATCCTAATGTGATTTGTAATACGAATATTTTTTTTTTAAAACTGTATAAATCACGAAAAATATTATCATGATTTCACTTAATATTATATGCAATCAATAGTATTCTCAATAGTTTATTTTTATTATTATGATAAAATTAGATCATCTCAACCCAACTCGATTAAATTGTAACTTAAATTATCGTATTGGAAGATTTGATAATACTTCTACTTCGTATATGTAGCAATAAATCAATCCAGAAACGACTAACTTGACGACAAAACGATTGTTAAAAATAATACTAATAATAATAATAATAAATTTGGTGAATATGAATTAAAACATTAGGGTTACTCCGTTACTTATCATTAATTTGTTGCAATCCCTTTAACTTGCATGTTTGCCCTCGGAAATGGTAACAAGGTTTCATGACAAAAATAAGCTTTAAAATAATAATTATATGAAATAATTAATATCCAGAAATGAAACCCTATAATCAATTTTAAGTAAATGTGGTAATTTGGATCGGATATGGTAAAATATGAATGTTAATTAAACTAGTTACAAAACAAAATTTCGTCATCTCTTCATGTATATACTACTAATAAGAGTTGAAATGCTACCTAATCTATTTTCTATCGGACACAATATGCAACCACAATTCTTGACCTAAAATGCTGCTCCTCATTTAAGTTTTCTAATACTTTACCATGTAAAACGCGTCCATATAGTTTTTGAAGATAACGGAGTTGGAGTTGTTCGACTTCGACTTGGACGCTTGAAAAAGATGGTAGGGAGGCTGGATAAAAAGAGTAGAGACGACAAAAAGACGATAACGGAGCTTGATCATGAGGTTCTTGGAGACTATGTAGTACTTCAGTGTCGGACGATAATATTAGGGTACGGAGATG